AATACTAGTGTAGCAGACCTTCAATGCCCACATATTTTAATGGTCTAGAACGTTTTTTGAGGTCTTGCCTTTTATTTGTAAATTATTGTCTTCTGACAATTCATTTAAGTAAGGAGTTGGGGGAGGCAGTGAGGACTGGCAAAAACTACTTTGTATGTAAAGGTTGGAGCAGTTAGATGATTAAAGTGTAGAATCTATCAAAAAAAAAATAAATCACATGACAGAAATTCAGGGAACCTCTTTCTCTGTACTTGCTATATATAAAAATACAACATAAACAGGTGGATTAGAAAAAAGGCTTGGGGGCATAAACATTTATCTTTCTTGTACAGTGTGGTATAAAAAACCCCAAACCTACTTTACACATAGATTCTGCAACTTATGCTTGTGTAGTTACTTTAAATACACACAAATCCCAAGTAAATCTAGACTTTGGACTATTTCCTGAAATTCTTTCTTTGCAGTTCATAGTGGTTTGAGATTTGTTGCTGAATTACACTTAAATTTATAAAAATTCCACATATCAGAAATCAATAATTTACCTTCTATTTGTGGTACTTCTCCCTGAAGTTTAGCCTTGCTTGTGAAAGGTGCATTCTGCAGCACTAGTGCAAACAGTGAAGGAATCAATGACTGAAGAGCAGACAGATACATGTGGAGCTTATGTTCATCCAGGCCATGTTCTCCTTCCTGAAAGTAACAGTATAGTTAAAGTTTTCAGTTTGCATAATCTGTTGCTTAGGCATGTATTTCCTGGCAAAAGAACAACACATCTGCGATAAGTTTCTACACAGACACACTAATTATATACTAATTTATCCTAACCACAAGCTTACTTCGTGTCATCATCCAAATCTCCTTGTCACCCTTCAGTCACTTCCACTCTAAAGATTGAAGCAACACAGCCTTTAGCATTTAGCAGTTCATGTCAATGAGCATATTGATATTCTGAAAGAAAATTTTTCAGCACATTTTGGAAATATGAATCCTTGGTCCCAAGAGAGCAATGCCTCTAAAACCTGAATAAACTAGTTGTCTGTACTCTGAAAACAAGCATCTTGGTTAAGTGTGTTAGACTGTTGACACCCTATTTTCCAGGCCTTTCCAGATACCTACCAGATCAAGTATGCAGACAAACTAGCTCATAATTGCAAATGACCTAACTAAATAATTCAATTCTACTTTTTTGTTTGTTTAATAAATATTGCACTTTATTGAAAACTACACTATGTGTCACTTAAACCCAATTTAAATAAAGGGCAAATTCACTCAGAATAACACATCATATGGTCACAGGTGCAAGCAAGCGTTTTCTGAACTGCACTTTGATCACTGGGCTATAAAGCAAAAACACTGTTAAAGAGGAATATGTTTGGATGAGGGGTTTTGGTGTTGGGTATTTTTTCCTTCTTCCCAAGGACAAGTTAAGAGTTAGAGTTACAACATGAATCTCCAGAAATTTTTCCCCCCATAAAACACTGGGTAGCGATTACTTACCCTTTCTGTGTTTTTTTAAAAGCCTGCATATGTAATAAAGACACAAAGAAAATTCTCCAGTATAGAAACAGCTGAACACATACCCTGAGCAATTTTTCAATTTTATTAAGCAGTGTAGGTATAAGATGGAACTGTAAATTTCCCAGTTCTGTTGTCCAGGCAGCATAAGCAGGTAAGAATACCTGGTGCGTTGCACTAACTACACGTTCTGAAGGGTCTCCTAAAGCTGAAAGCAGCAGTTCAAAGCCCTGACAAAAAAACAATAAAGAATGTAATTATTTTCCCAAAATTTATACTGAAGTTTCCCACACAAAACACGCATACTAAAAAAAGATTATAATCAATTTTTAAAACTTTACACTAATAAAACCAAAACAAGGTAGTACATGAGGCCTTTGAACAGATATTCCCACCTCATCTACAAAGGTAAACAGTAGGTGGTTCAATGATCATGCTAGTACTTTACAGTCAGCTGATCAGAATCAGTACAAACACATTTTACCACTCTGCCTTCAAAAACTCCAAGACAAGATTCAAAGGTCTTCGTTTTCACCTATCTGAAACATTACTATGCAGTATTAAGTTGAATTACAAGCAGGCTTTGTTGTAGCAGACAAATCTCTGTTGGCAAGGGATGATATCAAAACAGCTAACAGCATCATGCGGGCAATTAAGTGGTATGTTCTTGAGGCAAATTATGAATTATTAGAGAAGTTTCTGCACAATGCTTACACCTTAGGCTCTAATGATACTAGTAAGAATGTGTATCCTTTTCGGTCTTGGTGATACAATAAAAATCAACATTCATATAAACATCAACATTTACTGAAGTATCTGGAAAGATATGAAATAACTATAAAAGACATTTTCTACATACAGAACCCAAATCATATTATACCTGTTGATATTTGTCTGGATCATCAATATATCCCATAATGATGCCAAGGCTTTTGATCACAGCTTCTCGTACCAGATCTGCCTTATCTTCCATTAGCATTTGCTGAAGCATGGAAAGTACTAACGAACTACGAATTTCTTTCTGTTTATAATAAAGAAACATACTTGTTAAATCCAATGAAACGAGAAATGCAGGTTTATATCAATTTTTTAAAGTAATTTGCACACCTATTAGTCCTCACAAATAAAACTCCTTCCTCCAATCACTGATCCCTTTGTAACTAAAAGTAACAAAGAGCAAAAAACTACTACTGTAGGCCTAGACTTAAAATAGAATCCTTAATCACTGCATTAGTAAATCGGAGAAGTGTTTGGTTTTGGGTTGGTGTAGGTTTGTTTTGGTTTTTTTTTTAAATTTATTTTCCTTTTTCTCTGAAGCTTCTAGTTCACCACTGGCTTAATTTTATTGCGTCTTCTGACTGACAGCATTATTCATGGAACATTCCACAGTCTCTGAAGAACTGTTACTGAATGCCAATTATTTTTTTAGAGAGTATTTCCTTAATTGGTCCTATCTTTAATCTTCACTGAAACAAAGATGATTTTTTCAGAATATACTGTTTCAAAAGATATTTTATAGCTAGATTGACCTGTATTCCTTTATAGTGAGCCATCGCCTCAATGTGATTTACTGAATCTCACATGTGGGATACAAAGTAGAAGAAAATGTGACTGTCTATGCATAACATACACACTTGGGAATATTTAAAATTACAAAGGATGTTTTCATTACACAACAGATTTTCACCTTGCTTTCACTAGTAAAGTGTGTAGAGTCAGTATCAATACTTACTGGAAGGTAAGGTGCCAGAGCTCCACAGGATTCTGCTACCAGTAGCCGTCTCTCTGGGTATTTGTGGTTGATCTGGTAAAGAGAAACAGAACAGCTATTTGCTTTGCAGTAACCAGCATTCAAAATGTGGTTAGAATGAACTGCAACAGAGAAATACACTTGTGCCTTTTGGATAAACACTGACTGTGTCTGTAGAAGTTGTATATGGGTACTAAGCAGCCTCAAATTCTTGCACTGAGGTATAAAGGCAAGGCAGATACAAGGCAAGGCAGATACAAGGCAAGGCTTTGCCTAGTTGTCCTATAAAATAGAGCTTCCAGTAAGAGAAAAATCAGAGAAGCATAGATGTATATGCAGGAAAAAGAATGGCAGAAAGCAGTGTATGGGCTGCTGTACTCTAAAGAATATGTGCAACTTCTGAGCTGGCACGTCATGAAGTATCTTGTGCTGTGCAGCCCTTCAGGAGCGTCATTCCTCTAAGAACTACACAAGTGCCCTCTAGTGTTCTAAGCCAACCAGTGCAGCGTAGCGGCCTAGGTCTTGTTGCAATTGGGAGTCAAAAGACACACGTACTGAGCCGAGAAGCACTTGCACGCTACTGAGGTTCTGACCTCAATTCCAGCATAAATGTATCACATCTCTAAAATGTGACTGAAAACAGCTCCTATTCCCGAAAACTTCTTGATCCCATACTACCTCCCCTTTCCAGGCTTTTTGAAAATTCTGCCTTACGAATTTAATATTGACACTTTGGAACCAAGTTTGCACCCTTGTGGAGTTAGCTTTAATGGCCAGTGTAATGGTTGTACAACGAAACATGTGACATGTTTCTATATAGTCTGTGACAAAAAAAGAAAAAAATCAGTTTAAAATGGTAAGAGGGAAATGTGAATAGTTTGATCCCGTCAGATAAAATAGGATATGCATGTTGTGCAATTATTTCTCTTTCTCTTGCTATACAGTGCATAGCCTTGGTAAGGCAACCATCTTAACACAGAAAAGATCAAGGTGCTCACTGCCTTCTTTGTCTCAGCCTTTACTGGGAAGACTTGTCTTCAGTAGTCCAAGATGCCTAAAACCCACGTGGAAGTCTAGACCAAGGAAGGCTTATCTTGGCAGAGAACTATCAGATCAGGAAACACTTAAACAAATTGGATGTTCACTGATCTGTGGGCCACGATGGGGATGCAACCATAAGTGCTGAGGAATCTGGCTGATGTCACTGCAAGACCAGTCTTGACAATCAACAAAATGCTGTGGCAATGGGGATGGTTCTTGAGGACTGGAAGAAAGCAAATGCCACTGCTGTCTTCAGGAAGGGTAAGATAGAGGATTTGGTGAAACACAGGCCAGTCTGCCTCATCAGTTCCTGGAAAGGTGCTGGAGCAATTAATCCTGGAAAGCATTTCCAAACATACAAAGGACAAGAAGGTGGCTGGGAACAGACAGCATGAATTTATATAGGAAAAACAACGCATGACCAATCTGATCACTTTCCAAGATGACTGGCTCAGTGAACAACAGGCAAGGAGTGGGTATTTTTATGCTGACTTCAGCAAAACTTGATGCCATTTCCCATAACATCCTCATTCGCAGATTGATGAGGTCTGGGCTAGGACAGTGAGGTGGACAGAAAACTGACTGAACTAATCACAGGCTCAAATAGTCACAGCTGGCGGCCATGCCCAGTGGAGTATGCCAAGGGTTGATTCTGAAGCCAGCAACAAAGATGTGTAACATCTTTACTGATGACCTGGATGACAAGATAGAATGCACCTGAACAGGTACGCTGATGACAAAACTGGAAGAAGTGGAAGATATGCCTAGATGGGTGTACTGCCATTCAGAGGCACCTCAACAGGCTGAAGAAATGGACAGTCAGGACCCTTATGAAGTTCAAGAAAGGGAAGTGCAAAGACCTGAACCTCAACAGGAAAAATTCCCGTGCACCAAGACAGATGGGGGGCCAACTGGCTGGAAAGCAACTTAGGAGAGAAGGACACGGAGGGCCTGACAAATACCAAGCAGAGTCAGCAGTGCACTCCTTGCAGCAAGGAAGACCAATGGTATCCTGGACAGCACTAAAGATAACCATCACTAGCAGATAAGGAAAGTGATTATCCCACTTTACTCAGCACTGGTGGACCACATCTGGAGTGCTGTGTACAATTCTGGATTTCCCAGGTACAGAAAGACATTTTGGAGCAAGCCCAGCAGACAGACATTAAGATGATTAAGATATAGGTATGCCTGACATACGGGGGGAGGCTGAGAGAGCTGGGGTTTGCTCTTGAGAAAAGAGAGCTCAAAAAGGATCTTACCCATGTGTAAATAATAAATACCTGTACCTATGTGCAGAGAGGTAAAGACACAGAGGTGCCCAATGAAAGGATGAGATAAATGAAATACAAGAGTATCTATTTTTCTGGGAGGCTGGCCAAATCGAACCTATTGCCCAGAGATCTTATGGAGCCTCCATCCTTGGACATCTTTAAAACCAGACTGGACTTGGTCTCGAGCAACCTGCTCTAGTTGACTGTTTTAAGCAGGGGGCTTGGATTGCAAGATGGTCAAAAGCCCCTTCCAACCACAGCCGTTCTGTGACTTGCTCAATTCTACTGGCTTAAGAGAAAATATACATGAAGATATAGTAACAAAACCACTTTGGACAACTTCTTGTCTCGACTTTATTTCCACAGCACACTGAGCAATGGTACCTGACCACTGATGTAGTATTAATATCTTCAACTTTCTCACTGTTCTGATCTGAAATCACCGAAATCTCAAGAGCAAAGTGTGGCAAAGATAATTTGAAAGAGACTTAAAAGGCACAAATTATGAGCCTCAGGACTAAACTGAAGTCTCAAGCATTGGAGAACATTCTTTGAGCATGTCTGTCATTATTTTCCATTCGTCAGTAGGCACCTGCAATTTTTTTTTTTAAGAATGGAGATTTCATAGACGAGAAACAGTAAAGGCATCTATAGCATCTTTGACTTACGTGCCATCTTCCCAAATGCAAATTCCCTACTAGTAAGAGAGACACACCTTGCCTTTTGGTGCTTTGCCTTCCTGAAGGAAAGGGCAAAGACTCAATTTAATTGGTTCAGGTGGACTGGCAAGACAATATAAATAACATCCCTGATACTGTGAAGACATACTGACACACTGGAGGAAAAAAAAAGACTCAAACTTCAGCAAGGTTTGTGTTTGGGTAAGATTATTAGCCTCTGGAAACCTAAACAGAACTAATGTTTATTACCACTAATTTTCCTTTTGTCTTTAAGAAGCAGTAGTGCAATTCTGGAAGCCAATTAACTGGTCACTAGTTCTGAGGGAACTTTTAGCATTCACAGAGTCTTGATCTAAACTCAGATGAGGCAGCTACCAAATTTTACCTGCAAAGAATAGGTAGAAAGATTACAAAGACTAGCTTGGTAACTCTGAGCTCCAGAAAGTGTGGATGAAAATGATGAATCTTCTGAGGGTACAGACCTTTGCACCTGTAAATAGGTTTTGATTGGAAACTAACTCCATGAACACTTTCATGATTAAAGTATCTACTGAGACATGGTAGAAAATTATGCGTATTTCTGAGTTCCTTCTACAAACTCAGTCTTGTGACAATGAGATTCAGCTGGTATTTTGCCAAATAAAATAATGGCCTGGTTTCAGTACTGCAATCAAAGTCCAGCAAACTGCATTAAATAAATGCATGGTGACATACTGCTTGGCAGCCTGATATGCTCTATTGTTACAGTTGGACTTGTTCCTCTTTTGCATCAGTTCGCAAGAAACTGGTATGGTGAAGATGTGCTCTTACTGAGGTGAGATGGTGGTGGGTTTTTTTTAAACACTGTTCAAATTTCATGAGAAGGACTAAGAAAACAAAACGTGGTTATTTTGTGTTCAACTGCTATTGCTGTGAGTCCTTCGTTTAATCAACAGATACACCAGGCACACACATAAGCACAAATGCTGCATGTACTAAGTACTTCCATTGTCAGAAAGCATTAATGCTATTAAAGCTTGGACTTCATTGTGAAAAACAGATGGCTGTGTTATGGAAGAAACAGTAGACAATAATCAGGCCAGAAAGAATGTTCCATCAAAGCAAAACCTTACCACTCTGTCATGGCTTAGTTATTCACTGTGTTTTAGGCAACGATGAACTCCCTTTTCTTCCTTATGCTAGGAAGATACCATGCATTTTCACCTGAATTCATGTTGTCCTGTTTCTACATGTCAGATGAAAGAGTAGCAAGAGCATTTCAGTTTGGTTGTTCAGTTATTCCTATTAACTTAGAATATCTGTGGAAAAGGTCACTGTGATTCTAGAAGTCCCACGTAAACTTCATTCTGATCTTCCAGGTGTAAAGTCATGCCCATCTATAGAGGACCCATTTCTGACTACTTTGATCTTTAATTTTCTGTTTAAGAATTTTAAAGCAGCTGAAATATGAATAGTGCTCCAGGGACTTAATACAATATAAAAATCAGCAAATGAAACCTTTGAATGAAAATGGATTTTCTACAGTCTGGAAATTACAGTACAAACTATAAAGGCACCTACCTGGCAACAGGTTAGGCAACAGTGATGAACGTGCATATATATGTTTCAATACAACAAACATATGCAGGTAACTAGAATCTCCAGATAGTCTTTGCAAATTTTCTGCTTTTGAGTTCTTTTTCATGTTATATAAAAGCATATATATAATGAGGAGAAATTACATCCAAATAATCTTTCTGTAGAATACTCCGAACTGCCATTTGTTGAAAACCAAAACAAGCCCCCCTCAAACAAGTAAAACTCAACATTTGTAAATTTTTAACTAATTTTCCAGTGTAAATCAAAAAATAATCAGTTACCTGTTCCCAACACTGTGGTAAAAGCTCAGCTTCTACACGTGTTGGTCCAACGTGCCGGGCAAATGCCACACACCCAGTCAGTATCATCTGTCTGAAAATATAAATTTAAAGCTTTAATCCGTTTATAAAGTAAAGTTCTATAACATAGAATATATTCTTTAAGTTAGGAAAAGCAGATGCTGTCAGGAAACAGGTAGTTGTGTACAGTCAAAATTTCACACTATACACCCTGACTTAAAGGCTAAATCTTAAACTAAAAGCCACGACTGTTCCTGCTCATTACAGGGAGGTGGGACTAGATGATCAAGGTCCCTTCCAACCCAAACTATTCTATGATTTTATCTTGCTTTCTACTTAATATGCCTTTTCCAGAAACTTGTAGATCCCAAACTCCATGAACCAGATCCTGAGGATCTCAGATTTGGAAACCTGATTTCCCAATGTCGAGATTGGGAAACTGACTAAATCTATTATTTAATTCTCATTTCTGCACATTATGATTCTTCATGAAGTAAAAGGATCTAAATTATTTACTACTATCATACTATCAGTATTTAGTCAGTTACACATACTGCTTTTATTTAGAAGCATTTATGATATTTAATCAAGTGTTCAAAACAAGTAACTTCTTTTATGACATGGTTCTGCAGCATTCTAACATGTAAGTTACTGTCATCTCTCCCAAATTACTGAACTCTCATCAGAAATCTTCTACAGCGCATTATGAAGAGGAAACAATTAATCAATCAGTAGTATCTACAACCACACAAGTCATCCATATTTATATTCTTGCATTTTTTAAACTTTCCTCAAAGTCTGCAAGAAATCAGTTGTTCCATCTATTTCACAGGCACAGAGATATATTTAAAAATTCAATAAAATTGTACTTAACTGTCCTTTGTGGTATTTTAACTTTTATTTAGCAAGTTTTTACTTCTGTTTCTCCTTTTAATGGGATTGGAATGACACTGACTTTGCATGCAATTTGCCAGTTCTGTTTACTTTTAGTGTATACACAAGCACTTAAATAGCCAGTTTCAAACACTAACACACAGACATAGGACACTCATTTTACCACCTCCACAGTAACACCAGGACACCACTGAGAATTTGTTCATTATTACTTTGTGGAAAGTAAGCCAGGATTAATTTGTGTCTGTTTTAGTGTCATGTTTAAACTCCTAAATATTTACTGCCACTAATAGTATGCCCTTAAGGTTGAAAGGCAGAGATCCTGCTCGTTATTTGTTAACCAGTTCTGTAACAGCCACAAAAAAAAACCCCAAAACAAGCAAAAAACCCCACCAAAACAAAACAAAACTCAATCACTTTCAGAATCTTTTCAAGGAGCAGCAGTCAATTAAAAACAGATTTATTTTTTTCCAGCATTCTTTAGGCAAACAGTCAGACCAAGCTCTTTGGTGTTGTGTTTAGTTTGTTTAGTTTGGTTTGTTTAGTTTGTTGCTCTCCCCCCCGCCCCCTACCTCTCACCACATACAAAGAACTAGACCTTTGATCAAGGTAAAAAGGTTGGGGGGAAACAAGAATGCAGTGATTAGATATGAATCAAGAAATCAACAGCTGATACATGATAGCAATATGGAGACAAAAGCCTGTGGTAATTTCGAGTTCTACAACAAACAAAATAGTTATTCAAATGCCTGTCTTTGAGTTTACACACTGCACCTTATCACAAAACTGGGCAGCTGTAACCATCTTGAAAGTATATGGCAACAGTCAGTACTTCAGAGGAAGAGAAGGTTGTAAGGATGTCAACACAGGTCATTGAAACAAAAAATGTTAATGCTAAGCTGTTGCAAAAATTGCAGTCTAGTCTGGACAAGGGAAAAACATTTTTCTATTTATTGCCATAATGATCTCGTTTATTAACAAGATGCTAGGAATGCTGTCCTCAAAAAGCTCTCACCAGGATATGCACTTATGCTCACCTACACAGGAACATAAAGTAAATCAGTGTGATTTAGCAGAGTAGTAGTTTGCTTCATCACCACAGAAACTGAAGTGAAATCAAGAATCAGACTAGAGGAACAAGGCAGAAGTTAGAGTAGAAAAGACATACTTTAACACTCATAAACTCTAGAGGTTTTAGAAAACAACTGCAGGCAGAGTGGTAAGCAATTCAATCTTACATTACACAGCTCAAGGTTCTTTTGCCACCCCTAAAGATTAAATTTAAAACTTGCTAGAGATTTCCTTAAGTTCCTTAAGTCAGCAAGTTATGAGTGTTCTGAAGGAGGTGGTATCATACAACTGATGAAAAGTCATACTAGATACGCTAAGCTCAACATATTTTAGCTTCTTCTCATTAAGAGTGCTGCTTCGGGGTACACAACTTGGAAATTTTCAAGATTGTTCAACAAGCTGAACTATGTTTTAACATTGTCCTAAAAGACCTTAACATTCACGGGACTCTCTCATGGCTCTTTAGCATCCAAACCCAACATAATTGTTCCAAAAGAAGTTTAAGTGAAGCTAACATGTATTTGTTCCTTTGCTGTATCTGCATGCATCAAAAAGCCTCTCATGGGCAAGAATTATATTACAGGCTTTCCACGTAATTGTTCACATAGTTTACAAAGTTTAAATATTTAAAGTAACATACTTATTTTAATGGGTTCATTATTAGAAATGCGATGTCATATTTCAGTCTCTTGCATTTAACAAATTAAAAAAAGTCTACCTTGTTTCAACTGCTACTTTAATGTACAACATAGGCCTGTACAGTATAGCAGAAGGTAAACAAATAACATATGCAGTAATTAATACCATTATTCTGGTGACTGAAGCTGAATGCCTTTGCATACTTCATAGCACACAAGGCTACTAAATTATTAAACGTATTTAAACAAAAGCAATCATGCATAATACACTTCCATACAAACATGTAAGTATAAAAACCCAACTGAAATTCTGAATAAGTATTTCCTATCTAATTTGTATTTTGGATTCCTTTTATTTGATGGAATTTTACTTATTCTTCAGTCAGGTGTTATATCACCTTTAAAACAGATTATGATCTGTATATGTGTAAATGTATGTCTTGCATATACATGCCCTTTCCCAGACATTATGGCAGAATATACTTTCCAAATTTCTGATGACAATAAGTTATTTTTTGATATACATCTAACTCACAACAACGCAAGAAAAAGGAGATTTCAAGGAAAAATAAGCTTGGATCTTCTCCTTCATTAGCTGCTGGAAAAGACACACCTAACTGCAGCTAAACAGGCATATGAAAACTCTACTTGAGAGGCCACCAATACTGTGACAAATTAACTACAAGAGGCTACAAGCAGAGATGCAACTTCCTTCTCCCCTCAACCACAAAATGATTTTAGCTTCTCAATCTGCATGGGACATTTACAACATTTTAGATAATAGTAGATGCTTCAGAAGCAGATTTCTAATGCATATGAAGCAGAACAAGGACTGTATCTTTCTGTAATTCCAACTTACATGGTGCCACTGTGCTTGCAAGTTGTATTTATTTATGCATTTTTTTGTCTCCAAAGCCATGTCTTTCAATTGTACCTCTCTCTAAATTTTACAATGGGAACACAATTGGTGGACATAGAAACAACAGAAGGACACCAGAACACTTCAGAAAATCTTCAAAAGAAATGCTTTCAACCTATTCCATAATGCTTGCTTTGTCTGAAGATAGAACAGTGCAACAACAGATACAGATGCTTACAAAACATCTCTAATGAAAATAACGGAAGACCCTTAGATCAAATATGAAAAATCCTCCCATAGTTAGAGAAGGAAACATACCAGCTAGGGTACTGTCTTTCAACCTTAAGGATACTCTTATCAAGTTCAGTACAAAACCATCAGATTTCCTGAGTACTAAGGGAGAACTAAATTTATAAAACAAAACAAAACAAAAGGATACTTTGTTTCAAAGTCTTAACCAAAACAAAACAAAGCCTTTAGTTCTTGTCAGAACTAAATCACTGCTTCAGTCTTCTGATTTTTTACTGTTATCATAGCAGCAAACCGTAAGTAGAAAGAGTACTGTTTTCTCATGCTATTTTCCCCAACTGAATTATCATAGTTAAAAGAAGTTGTTTTGATTTCTATATCAATCATTGCTAAGAATTACTACCTTAAAGCTCATTTTAACGAAGCATTTCAGTTTAAACAAAAAAGGAACTGAAATGTTACACTGCAGCTTAGCAAGAACATTCTTACATTTCAGTAACTAGAAAGTACAGGTCATTGAAATGGAAAGTCCTGAAGTCCACATAAATTTGTCAACACTATACCAGCAAAATACAAGCTTAAGTGAAACTTGGTTAAAATCATCCAATAATATCCAGTTTCTATTAGTTCTGCTCCTTTGACAAAGAAAAACAAGTTCCTTCTTGTCCCGCAACACACAAACGCAAACACACCTTTGCTCATCATCTGGTCGTTTGATCAAATTGAACAGTATGTGTAGAAGCTGATCTCTCTCTTTGGGTTCAGGATGGAGGCAGGCTGTACACAGTATGAGTGGGATCAATTCCTAAAAAATTGTGGGTAGGGGAAAACCAAACAAAGTAAAATCGTTTTGGGCATATATTCATTAATGGCAAAAGAAACTAGTAAGATAAATCTAGCCACATAGTATCAGAACATTTAGAGTAGGTGTTTTTAGAGTCAGTGACCTGAAAAAAGTGAAGGTCTACATAAGTTAGAATTATTTTCCTGCTACGAAAGATGCAGGGAGAACCAGCACATAAAATAAAGAGCTCTGCAAATATTACAAGTAACATATGCAGGTCACCTGAAACCATAATTAGAGGACAATCATGGTTGTCTTAACTACCTACTGAACTAAAGCAAACTTCACAGACATCTACGGAACAAAGCTCCTACGGAAAAAGTTACTTGTGATAGCATGGAGTTAAAGATTAAAATTTCCAATTGAGCATGTACACAGTGTTGTGCACGAGTTTGAATAAGCACTGAGAAACAGATTGGTAGAGGTGACATTAGATTAGACGTTAGACTCTATTTTGCGTTGACTGAGAACAATGTGATTTTTTTTTTTTTTTAAAGTTTGCTGTTGTTGGTTTTGTTCTGTTTTTTAATGAAGCAGCAATATCCGAAGCTGAGTTTTATTTTTAGAGCAATTCAATTCCCTTAAGGAACAAACCACTAAGAAACTACTGTGTAAAACATTAACTGAAAGAAAACACAAGGCTGTTCACAGTGGTGAAGACCTCCCCCCTTCTAAACATGTCTTCAAAGCTAATGGTATTCATTCCCAGGAGAAACAAATGTTTCTGAAACATTAACTGGAAGTCCCTTTCTTCAATTTTTTTTTTTTTTTGAGATAAGCCTTTACTCTGCCTAGAAATTGTGTAGCTTCCACATTCAGTTAAATATTGTAGAGACAGAAACATCACACTGGGAGGTCAGGAGGAAAGAACAAGACAAACCCAGGTGTCTGCAAACAAAACATGGGCAAAAAATCCAGAGACTTCCTCTCCCACCTGCCACATGTGGCTTGAGCCACTTTCAGCAAACAAGCTTTTTGTGAATTAATAGGCTGTGACCATCAGGTAGATGGGACAGTGGGAAACACTTTTGAAGTTACTAGGAAAGATCACACAAAATCTGGAAAAACCTGTCATTACTTCTAAAAACTTTGCAGGGAGATACCAATTTCTTCTTGCAGGTATTCAAAGTGACCTATTCATGATGTTCTTGACAGTAAGTCTATGAAACAAGGTGGGCATGTGGAAACAGCATTAAAGACACCCTCACTGCTCAACTTGTAATTTCCTAAACCGCAAGTGTTGTTTATTTTAAATATAGAACAATACTCTATTTTAGAGCAGTGCCTAAGCCAGTCAACTCCTAATAAGCTTTTGTTTTCATTTTACAAGGATTCTACCAGCATGCTGTTTTTCTCCCCTGCACATCCTAATGTGCATTTTAACATTCTGAAAGATATTCTGGCAATATTAAATCCTACTATGGTACAGATTAGTGAATTTATGATGATACAGAGGAATGAATGTGGAAATATCCTACCACCACTTTAAAAATCTGAAAGCACAGAAGGAAAAATGACCAATAAATCTGAACAATTTGGACTTACCTATTTCTCAGTATTTTGAGATCTATCTTTCTGAAATCTACATTAAGTTTGCATTATCCAACTGCTCTTGCAATTATTCTTACAAAGAGTTTAATAGAAAAAAGGAATTACCCCATGAAATGGGACATGCCTATTTTTTATGGTCTGGGCTTTTTGTTTCATCTGTTGAAACCATCGCACTGACTTCACTTTCCCAGTATGCTTGAGTTCCTACTCAGAAATCTCAACCGCTCACTCAGAACTACTGTTAGATTTTTGAAACAGTGCCTTTCAAGTTTAAGGAAGTTAAAGTTGTCTTTTCCCAGCTGAGCCTTCAAGAAAGGAAAACACCTCTGAATATTCACCTCAATACTACTGCCTTGTGTGTGAAAGGCTAATGAGTAACCTACCACCATTGACAGGGGGCATATACAAGGCTGGTTCTTTACCTTGCAGAGAGCTGGTTATTATAGCTGACGGAATTAGCTGTATTTTCTTGTCCATTGGTCACATTCTTTCATGCATACTATGGGAGAAGAGAGTGTTCTCTGCATCGCTGCATCAGTGCTTCTACAGTTCCTTCTATTAAGGGGAGTGGAGAAACAGTGAGAAGGCTTGAACAGTGTTTTATGTGCTCCCTATAAACTTAATGGACAGGAAGGTAAAACTGGAGGCAAAAGGGACTTTCAGTGGGACAAGAACAATTATACTGCCCTCATAGATGCAGAAAACAGGTGAAGTTTCTCACATGTGTAAAAGGGGACAGACTTTTCTTGGGATATTAAGGATTATCAAGAACAAAAAAGCAACCTACAGACAGGTTCGAGCTCATTCCTTCCTCTTGCCATGCCTCAGATGTAACTTGTTAAGTAAATCTCAGACTTTTTCCATTCTCAAAACCAGCAGAAAAGTGCTGTAGGAAGTGGTAATTTTCCAGTAAGACACGATAATATTAGCATTTGGCTATTTAAATTCAAGAGGAAAGTTCATGACATTGTTATGGAGACTGTATATAATTATTAATAATTAAGAAGAGGACTTCCAGTGCTTTTTGAAACACTCTGCCTTCCTTGGGAAGGAATACCACTTGCACTGACAATCATAAAGCAAGAATGTAAGTTTTAAAAAAGCCAACAACACTCCATTTAATTTGGAATCCTTCCTAAATGTCCTGTTCATCCCCAAGTACCACTAATCCCCATTGTTTCTTACTTAGGAAAACTGATTAGTTCATGCTGATGTTAGTCAACAGTACCAGGAGGAGTGACTTTCAGAAATGCAAAACTGTTTTCTCATTAGATGCCAAGCAGACTGCCATTGTAAACATTTGTTAGCAACTTGATGAAATAAAGCATCATGGTGTCAGAGGTCTCACCTCTGCTACTGAAAAGGCAAGTTAGTATCTAAGGTAGTTTATATCTGTGAACTACGCAAACGTAGAATTGGGAGAAGAAATTTGTTTTTACTGCGAGATAAGCTACATACAGGTGAATAACAGACAATCATAGAATCACAGAATAAACTAGGTTGGAAAAGTCCACCTCTAAACCATATCACTGAAGGCCTCATACACATGTTTTGTGAACACTTCCAGGGATGGTAACTCTACCACTTCCCTTGGAAACCTGGTACTACTTATGGAAAACTAACGTATTGCACCAGGAGAACTTAAATGGCCCATCTTCCCTGTGTTCTGCTTCTGTGCAAATGTCCACCTATGTCTCTCCACAGAGAAACTATTTTTTCCACCATAGTACCTTTGAACAACTTCTCCCTAACTTAAGACATGCTCCGTTACTTTTGAAAAGGAATCAATACTTGAGCTGATTCAAGTTCTCAATAAAGGCAACATTTACATGGGCATATGGAGCAGCTCTTCATTATGGTCAAAAGGTGGCTTTGTAATGGTAACTGGTATCACCCAACCATATGCAAAACAGTTCCTCCTACATATTACAACAAAATATTAAAGTTTGGGAGTTTTTTAAATGCATCCTATAGCAAGCATTTGTCTTTCTGTTGACAATTTTTCTACCTGTATTATTGTCTTCGTTATAATTATTTTTGTTTTACATTCTGACAAAAGTCTTCTAGATCTTCTCTCACTAATTAGTGTCTTTTTGTTGGAGTGTTCATAAGCAAAACAAGTATCTCAAAGAATAAATCTAACCAGCATTAAGTGTTAAGACTGGTTACTTCAATAGCTTAGGATAGCCATCTTTATCATTGTTTCAAATATTAATGTAATAATATAGCAAAAGGGTGACAATATATAAACCAGGGCACTGTTATGAATGATTTTGTAAATGTGTCCCTTTTAATGTTCTCTATGTAAAAATTATTCTGTAACTTAGCCTCTAACAACCAGTAAATAAAATAATCTGTAGCAACTGAAACTGCTGCAGGTATTAGCAAACTACTGATATGGAGTCTCTTGCACAAGAATGTACTTGAAGTTCAGAATTCATCCTTTTAGTTATAAAATGAAAAAAAAAAAATTAATCGCAAGATTGACATGACTCAGAACTTTGTGCTACTCAATAATACTAAAATTACAACTCTAATTACATTCATGGGGTCAGCCTATTATTCCAGGATCCAAATTAAGCCTCTCATAGATCCCCAAAGGGATGCTTTTACATAAGAATCAATGTAGATATGGGCATGGGAAAAAACCAAAACCTTCATACTTCTTTGTTTATATCTACTATTTATCTGGAAAGCTGCCTATAACACTACTGTGATAAAACTAGTAACAATTGGCAATACAATTCAAACATTAAACTCCTTGCATCCATGTAATTCAAACATTAAACTCCTTGCATCCAGCTTTCAGACTAGAAATGGAAAGGATACTTTATGAGGTTGAGCTATTTCATTCGAAGAAAATTACATTAGCCCCTCACATCCAAAGAAGGGAACTAAAGGACTTTAAATTAAAAAATTGTTATGTCTGTGTCTCATGTGTATCTGGGGCACCACCACCCCCCAGAAAAAAGCCCCTCAAACCAAAACCAACACCCCACTTACATGAGAAAGAGAATCAACAAACCTGCTGTGGTCAACACTATGCCTTTTTTTCAGAAACATGATCTATAGAAGCCTACCACAATCTAAGTTTTACAGAGCAACAGAAGGTATTTTAATTGTTCATTTAAATTTTTCCATTCTCTCCTATTCTGTGAAATAGAAACAGCCATTTAAAAGATACTGATGGCTGACAATTTTCATGCCCAGAAACTCAAACTTGTATACCTTTATCCATATCCAACCAGAATGACACCTGCTTGACACAGCCACTGGAAACAGCCACTTAAATATACTGCCAAGCTCTGATGCAGCATTTTCTTCCACATTTTTTAACAAAGCCAGTATTTTATGGCTTTCAAAGTGTAAGACCAAGATGTAAATCTGCAGTAAGATAGATATTCAGCTGTACCGTGTCTTAAGAGACAGCTACCTACAAAAAACGTCAGAGAACAAAAGTGCCTCAGTGATGTCTATGTGTAATTACTACACGTTAATGTGAACAAGTTTAAATCTACAGCATTGCTTTCTGTCAAGAATGGCACTCATTCAGAATTTGCAGATTCAGCATTCTTTGCTTCAATTTCACATAGAACCTCTATTCTTAACATTTTGAGCTCTATATAAGTTACAGTTTCTCAGAATATATGTAAAAAAGTAGAAAAAAAATCAGTGGAGCAATTTAGTAAACCATGACTATTGTGATTTTGCTAAGTTTGCATAACACAAATGAAAGTTACAGAAACTAACTCTGGAATAATAGGTGGGATGAAAGGCAAGGTGTTTCTTGATAAAGAGCAAGAGTAACAAGAACAGAAAGTTTACTCTGGCCCAAACTCTGCTGGAAGACTACATACTGCAGAGTGTGGAAGTTGTACATACAAACAGGGTTACTTTGTTACCTGCCAAAAAGATACTAATTTTTACATCTTACAAAGAGTAAAAAATCAGTACTGCTAAAATTTTAAAAGATCGCTTTTCTCTAATTACCGTTTAGCTTTAAAGGAATCCTTTCAAGATACACATCTTGAGAAATGGAAGGTGGCTGATATTTTTTAAAATCTTAAATGTGTTTTTGTTTTAAGTGGTAAAAACACAATTGAGGATGCAGATGCCAATCCAGATGAAATTCTATGATCAAGCTGCTTATATACAGGAAGTGTTATCACAGAGTGCACTCTGCCAAATGGGTTTTTTGTGAAGAAGAGCAGTAAGTTTTTATCATTTTCTTCCTGTTCATTCCAACTATTATTTGGCTTGCAGTATCTCCTTTGTTTGTGAGTATATCCACATATATATTTAAGCATTGACATACATGTTTTCAAGCAGTTAGGATAATCTAGACACTTGGATAAAAACAAAATTCAATTTATCTGTTGATAATGGAAATTTTAATGACTACGAATTGCTTTCGGGCAATTATCCTATATTAAGCATTATCAATCTGATCCGATTTAAGTGCTCTGTCAGAAATGACTAAAATGATCTCTCCTCAGCTACCCTGCTCAATACTGTGGTTTTCCTTCTTCGCTATCTTTCATCAGAACCTAAACTACAGACATCGAAGTACAATTAAAGCTGCAGCAATACACAAAAAAAACAAAGAATTTCAGAGATGCACCAGTAATACTGACACAGAGTCACTCAGATAGCAACTGTAATATTTACTGGACCACTTATCACCAGATCAGGTAGGCTGCTACTGACCTTAAGTGGGTTAAAAGCATTGCTGAAATGGCTTCTGAATCTCTGGTGAAGGACAATGCCTACTGAGAGAGTGTTAACCTCCACAAGCCCAGTTTCTCCAAATTGAAAAAGTATAGCACAAGTAGTATAGTTTTCAGCTTAAGATTTTGCAACTAATTTCAACACGATGGATGCTTAAAGAACAAAGATAGGTACTATTGGGAGTCATCAAAAAATTGCGTTTAATTCTCATGTCTAACACACTGACAGTGTACGATCTTAAATACTACCACTGTATCTTTTCAGAGCAGAAAGGTGATCACTTTGCATTATAAAGTGAACCTGTTACGTATCGTTCTTAAATCAGTGATCGTCTGGTATACTTTTATATAATGTCTCTGTAAAATTGTGCCAAGAGTCTCCCACAATAAGGCTGGGTTTAGAAAAGAGACAAGCTCTTAGGTTAGCTTTTGTAATACTGACATTAATAAATACTAACAGATGGTTTACCCCATTTTTCCTTCAAATTCCACAACTACATCTGAAAGAACATCACAATAGTTACAGCAACAGATGGGTAACTGAGAAAGTTATTTTTAAAGCAAATTTCAATTCTCAGAACGTTAAAAGCATCCCATGCAATCCAGTTACACAATTCTCAGTTGTGGCTTTTTCAGTCAAACTGAAACAGATGATTTGTTTAAGGCAAAAATACATGTAATCAAATGTAACTTCAACTGTAAAACAAATTAAGTAGGAAATAGCCTAAAAGGTCACAAAAATACTAAATGCATTACGCATATTATGCTACAAGCTGTGAAAAGAAGCCAAAATACCACATCCTGCCAAGCAGAGGGAAAGGAATTAATCAGAAATTAAGCACTGATCCAGGAACATTTACAGAATTATTCTGGGAGACTATTAATTTCCAGAGCACCCAGTTCACTCTCCCACCCCCTCAGAAAGATTCCACCTTTTTGTAAAGTTTGAGACTTTCAAAATGTGGTACCTCTCAAACTCACTGTATCAACTGCTGATAATTACTTGTATGTTATAAAATTTTAAATTATAGGATCAGTACAAATTTCTTGAAGATATTTTCAAAGCCTTAAAATGAATTTATGCAAAACACACTACTAAGTCTACCATACTGTAGGTCCCCTCAACAAGGACTAAAACTTACTCAACAAGCTATGCCACTTCAAACCTTTTATTTCAGTGTTAACTATAAGGCTGCTGAATTTTTGATTGATACATTTTCTTATTTTTAATTTTTACAGATTTGGTAATGTTCAATATTGACAACAAAGCAACACAAAACCAGTCTTTTTTTTCCCATCTTCAATCACAGTCTTCCCTTTCTACACTACATAGTACGAATGATTATGCAAAACACCATCTTCATTTACATCAGAATAGACATTATATTTACATAATTTTATTTAGCTTCGTTTTAAATTTAAGGAAAACATATAAGCAAGATTGCTAATTTTCTTATGAAGGGGTGTTTTTGATGAACATAGAGCTTCTAGAAAAAGATAGTAAAATAATTTTTTTGTTGAAGTACCTAGTGCTGCAAAAGAACCTGTACATTAATCCTTATTAAAACTGATAGATAAACCAAATTTAGTGTTCGAACTTATATCCTCTGCTCTTTATAACACACATTAACCGTGGCTGTCTCTAACAAAAACACATGTGCAGCTACAAAAAGATGGACCTACAGTAACAGTCTTGCTGAATGCTAATGGGTGCCTTAAGCAAAGGAAGAAATATTAGGATACCATGCAGGTTTACTGAACTCACCTGACAGAGGTGTAAAACCATTCTCTAGGAGCAGAGATGCATGCACAAAAGTAAGAATATGATTGCAAGTAACAGACTTCATGAAATTAGACACAAGATCTTCAAAATGAATGAGAAAACACCCTGGTAAAACCAAGTAAAATTTCAGGGTTCCTCACCTCTCGCTTTGCAAGCAGCACATTAGGAACAATATGAGGCAGGCAGCGTCCCAACATTAACATGACACTTTTTTCACTGTCTGCAATCCGAGATACCTAGAAAATCAAGTTGGTTGGTTTTATGTATTGTTTTTTAAATGAAGCACAGGAATAGAAAAATATAATTTCAAAAGAATAATAGGAATTGCAGCAGGCTGATCACTTACAAGAAAAATATTTATTCTACTCACACACATTAAGCCACAAGTTTTTGATCTGACAGTACCTTCCAAAGCATGAATCTACTTATACTTACTCAAAACTTCCCAGTAATTACGTATCACTAGGTTTCATACTAATCTAAAATCTGAAAGCATATCCTTATTTCTTAAGTTTCATGCACATAAATTAATCTCTCTACGTTAATAAGTCTTGTTTCAAAGCAATTACTGCTTAACTATTGCTGCCATGCAGAATGATGCATCTTCTAGTTTATGTCAACTGGGAAATTTACCTCTGATCCCAAACGACTGTCTGCTGACATCCGACAAAATGACAGTAGTGCTTGATGGAAAGCTGGTGACAATTTCCTGAAATATTGTCAAAAAGGGAGGGGAGGGGAAACCATAAATCAGAAAGGTGATTGAACAACTCCTTTCACTCTGGTTTAACCAGCTAGGTTAAATGACATTCAGAAAATGTTTTACATGAAGCATACCACAGATGTTTTTGTTAAAAATTATCTTTGACTTCTAGGATATCTAGTTTGTAGCAAGAAAAGAAGCGGGCATCCTAATTAAGAAGTTACTTTCAGTTCCGAAAAATTTAACATCTTTCAAACCATGGCACAGACAAAAATAGGACTAAAGCATGAAAAAGAGGAAGCTTTAGTAGTACAAGAGGAAGCATACAATTATGCAAACAGAATAGGGGGCAGACAGAAATGACAAGAAACAGTATTTTTGCTTAATGCTCTGATTCTGCACATTGCATAAAATCATCTGTGTGGTCAGTCACAAGCTTCAGGATTAAACAGTGATTGCTCAACTGCCACTTTGGGATATAAATGTTAGATTCAAATGTATAGTGATAACCTCAAAACTAGCCCTAAATTGCTGCCTAATCCCTAATGTAGATGTGTATCTACAGAAGTACTGCCTCATGGCCATGCATAGCACCAGCCAACACAGCTGAGACACTCAAAGCCTTAAAACATACACATAAAACCCTGGTAAGTCTCAAAACAACCCTGTCACAGGAGGATAATTTGGCGGAAATGTTCTCAGAAAACAATTACTGGACTGACCATTATATAAAACAGGCAAGCAGCAGCACCAGCAGCATCCTATTTTTCCCAGTAATGACAACTCCCTCTGCCTTATCTAACACTGCCTCATCCACTATGCTTAAAAAGGAAGAATAACATTTGCCTTCCAAAACATGCACAGAAAGCACCTAACCCTGTATCATCATCTACTATTTGAATCCTCTAATGACACTATATGAGTTTGAGAGGGAGCAATTACTATTTCTTATGTGGAAAGTGGCTAGTGCCTTTCAACTCTTAAAAATGCTGTTTTGTACACCTGAGCACACAAAATCCTACACACATGCAATTATGTGTACAGACATACATATTTTTATCTAATATACTATTTATAGTAAATACATCATCATTCACTCTTTTCTAACAAAAACCAGAAAAGGCAGAATCCATATTCCTACTTAAAACTGTTTATAGTCCACATGGACACAGATAAACACAAAGCAGTTTTCCTCTTCTGACTATTTACAAATTCTGATAAATAAGAATTTGTTTATTACTTAAATTCAAGCTTTTTTTCCCCAGGTTTTTATAACATGTTTTAAATTTTAATGAAATAAGTTTGTTTTAATTCCGATCAGATTGGCCTTCTGCAAGGGTTCACTTTAAAAAGGATACTAAAAAACTCAGATAGTAACAAGTTGTAGAGGACCTCTGTTTAACAATATGCTAGACCTTATTCTGTAACAGTATTCTTGAATGACAAATTTACAGTCTCTACTCAAGGCTTTTAGATTTATTTACATTGGGAGAACAGGAACAAGTGTTGCAAAGCAGTAGCTTAATGTTAAGAGAATGGCACGGCTTTGGCCAGCTCGTTGTCCCAGCTGTCCTTCACCTTGGCATTTATTCTGCAGAACCTCAGATCCCTCCCCACTTGAAACTTTAATTACATCCTACATAAGGGTAAAGTCCTATCCCCCTTTTGCAGAGACTGAAAACTATGATATGTTGCTCAGGAGCAACCCTGGGGGTTAACTGACAGCAAACTCTGAGCAGGATGGATCCCATTCCAATTGCTGGCTATATTTAGAATCAAGAAAGCTTCTCCTTGATGAAGTCTAGACTTTTAAAATCCTTGATGGCTTTGCTGGACAAAAATTATGAAAAATCCAGGTCTCTTGCACACAAGTCAGTGGAAAGTCTTTTCAAGGGCCAACAGATGCCACTAGTGAAGATGTCAAAATATAAGAAAATATGATGAAAACAAAACCCAAGCATACTATTCTGTATACACTAGGACAAAAGAGTCCATTTACTGAAAAAGTCAGGAATGACTGCTATATACAGAAAACACCTTGTTATTGGTGCAAACTACCAAACACCTAAAATGAGTTGGATAAATACATGTAGTGCAGTCTACTTAAACTGCTGCTAGGGCTTTGTACTGCAATCTGTTAGACAAGGCATTTTTCCAACAACGGCCATCCTCATTTGCGGGCATGCATGCATGCACAGCTGCTCTGAGTGCAGGCACACAAAGCAGGCACACTTGCTCTTCTATCCTCTCTTCCCATCTGGCCAAGACTTCTGCCAAGAATCCACTCCCTAGCTACAGCAGCAACAATACTGCCTTTTAGGATAGAGTCTTAGTTTTTAATGCCTCTTAATACTTTCTGAATAAATTATAGTAATCGTCCGTGGCAGGGGGGTTGGAACTAGATGATCTTAAGGTCCTTTCCAACCCTAACTATTCTATGATTCTTCTATAAATAACCACCCTTGGACTGATAGAAATATCCAGCACTTCTAACATGCTACTTCTCCCACAGATGTCAAAATACTTAAATAGTTCTTACTGCAAAAAATGACCACATTATTAAAAACCAAGTGCATAATCCAAGAAGAAAATTTAGTGATATCTATAAAACACTGTATCAAGTGTGATTTCCTTTGACCCTTCACTAACATTGTAAGCTCAAAACAAAAATAGCTACACATACATTAACTTATTTCTGCAGTGAACTGCATTTGAGAAGACTTCTGAAGTTAACCCAACTGTGATTCAAGGATTTATTTAACTGCTTTTCAAATAAATGCACATGCAGTTATATTTAGAAGACTGTGAGCAACAAAACAAATTCTGTTTTTCTAGACTACTGTCTTAAATCCCACCAGAGATATTCACAGTTCCTTCCTCACTCAGTTCTCTCATCCTAATATCTATCCTCACTATCCCTAAACCATCAATCTAACATTCACGCACTGAATACCTCCCAGAACTCCCAATTACTCTGAGCAAAAATAAAGTTGCTGCAAGCCACAGATGAAAGTAGGTAGACAGGTTTATTTTGCAAGAAAAGTAAATTACTACCAGGGTTAAGCAATTATTTTGTTTCTTCTCTCCCATCTCCCTGCTTGTATTGATTTTCCATCTGCACAGAATATCACACATAGATTTCTACTTGGTATTTTCAGATAGAAAATAATTCTAGAAACATATAAGTGTATCAATCCCTGCAAAAAGAACACTAAGGTAACTGGCAAAATACAAAGCAGAATGGCTACCTGCTCCCCAGGGAACAGCAACAGTAAGACCATGAGGTAAGCTACTTGGGCATCTTTGTCCACAACAGTAATTTTAGAAGTCGTACACACCCTCACTAGGTGTGTGCTTTGTATTACTTCTGATGGCTACGTAATGATTTATCTATTATTTAATGAATATGTTATTTCCATTCTTCACTATAATGCTTAAAAAGACTGTGTAGGTTGGAGAGGCTTTCTTAAGAATACTTTTACACACAAACTCTGCCTCCATGTAATAACATAAATACCCTATACAATTAAAAGAATCCTAGTTGTCCAGTGAAGACTTGCCCCAAATTCAAAACTCAAAAAGCAGAATTATAAAAAAAATTACATAATTTTAATAATCTGCTAATTAAAAAAAAAGTAAAACCATACAGATCTCAGTATGCAAAGAGTTATACAAATCAACATAGAAAAAGTAAAAAATCTCTCAACCACTCTTCATGCAGAAAAGAAGGGGTTTCATTACGAAATTAACATTTAAAAGAGAATGGAAATATCCTGTCTTCCACTTGCCATTTTGAATTTAGGTTTTTTTGTTGTTGCAAGGTACAGGACCGGTTTTAGAAACAAGTAGGAGGTGAAAAGAAACCCTTAAATTTAATACTGAAAATGCAGGTTTATCAAAGGTACTCCCTCCTAAAAAGGTTAGAAATATTAAAATATTAGCACTGTACCCTAAAGGTAAGTCTTTTATTTGAGTCTGAAACACAAATGGTCTAAAAATTCTGCAGAATCTTACTGTTAGAAAAAATAAGTACTTTACAAGAACTTTTAATTGAAGCATTCCGGTTTAAAACTTATCACTAACCTATTAGGTTTATCAAAGTGGACCGCAGCTTTTGTTGCCGAAGCACAAGAGGACAGTTTCTCTGTTTCTTTACAGGGCACAGAATTTAGTGTATCATCTTTAGAAGTCCTTGAATCCACTTCAGCTGATAAAGAAAGGCTTGTGTCCTCAGTGTTTCCATACTTATTGTCATTCTCAGAGCTCCTGATATCCAAGTACCGTCCATTGTCCTCTGAGACTGTGTGAGGCACTTGTTTTAAAGAAGGATGGGGAGCTACACCATAAACTGTTGACACAGCATAGTTTTCATTCTTGAGAAAATCTATTTCGCTAAAAAAAGGAAAAGCAAAAAAATTAAATGTTTTTGTAGCTTTCACAAGAAGGTTAGTAGAATCACAAGACTGAAGCACAGAAATAAGGACAACATACGGAAGAGCTCCCTCTTCAATTCCAGTATGTTCAAAAATTCCTTTCATACAAATGTTACATCACACAAGCTGTTCAAATTAGCATCTATTCAATGGAGTTCTCTACTCAATAATTAGTAGTAGAAAAAACGTTGCACTCTGAGTGAATCAATGAACTAAGTGAATAACAATAGTGTTATCTGCTTCTGGCTGAAATCTGAGCACTGAGACACAAGTTGTCACAAGACAGAACTCTATCTGGGATATAAAACTTAAAATACTGTAGTGGTGAATTAATATATACTATCCCACCTGGCTTTGAAATAGTAATGATACAAATCAATAAAGCCACTTAAAAATTATACACTTGCCCATGTGTTGTATTGGTGCATCTCTTAAGAGGAATGGTATCTTATAGCTTAGATTCCTATGTTTTGACTGAACTTTTAAAGTCTATTTTGTTGTTGTTAAAGATACTGTCATTGCTACTATTCTTGCTCTGTATGAAGAAAAACTGTGTTGAAATAAGTCATTAAAACAGTACTATAGTGTGTACAGCTTACTGACACTAACGAGTGAAATAAAGCTGACTGAAGATTTAATCTACACAAAACCCAACAGAACTGATTCTGTTTTTAAATAAATCAGTAAGTTGTGCTGAAAGAACAAACTGATTACAAAATTAAATAATGTAGCTAATAAAAGGGAAATAGTCAGTCTGAAGTCTCTTGTTCTAAATCAAATCCCATATATTGAAAAGACTGCCCCGCTCTGAAGAACTCCTTGCAATTTTCTAAGTGTAAATTCTAGGTGTAAAGCGTAAGTTTTCATATATGTGCTAGAAAAATACAGAGAAGTTACTCCAACATTTAACAGCAGTCAAGCAGATTTATAAGTACATACCTCTCAAGTCTTTGGATTTGTTCCATCAAAGACCATTTCTCACTGTTTAACACACTAATTTGATCTTCTAATTTTTGCACTATTAAACATTGCTAAATACAAGATAGAAACAAAAGATTTTAGTACAATGAAGCTTATTAGTACTGCAAACAGCTGAAACATTTCTTCTGTACAATCTCTTACTTCTATGGACTGTGGTGTTGTTTCAAACACAGGGACGCTCCCAAGTATAGGAGTAGCAGCCTCTAACTCATCATCTTCTACACCAACTGATACATCCACCACATCTCTCGCAGTAATATGATGGTTTCCAAAGTCACGATAAAGTTGTAACAGGTCTGGAGGTTTTGGAATGTTCAATCCTACATCATCCCAAAGTTCAAAATCCTTCAAAGGAATAAAAGAAACTAAAACATACAGTAAAATTCCTTTTATTTTCATTCCTCTTCCTCATTAGACTGCAGGTCATACAACAGCAAAATAGTCACATCGAGATCGCATTGTAGCAAGAAGTAGAAAAAGGAGCCATTTCATGACCCAAACCAGTTTCACCCTAATGGCAGCTCTAAGTAATGTACTAATGAGAGGACCTTTCAAAAACACATAGCTCTCAGTCAATTTTTTTTTTTTTTTTTATCTACAACATCAATAGTTTCTACAATCAGCTATAACGTCATCAAATTCTAGCAGAAGCCAGTGCAATTGTTAAAAGGGTTTCTACTGATAGCGGTATAATTTTGTTCCCAACTCATTCACAACTACAGGTGTAATTTTCCAGAAGACGACAGTCAAATCACTCTGTAGATGACTGATGGATGGAGTGCATATTCTCAGTGAAATTTAGATACGACTGTACTAACTCTGTAGAGGTGTAAACAATACTAGGGCCTCCTGTCTCAAACCAGCACTGTATGTCCTTTCTTTTCTCACTGACATGTTACCATCTTACTACTTCATGATTATTCCATATCTGTATTAATAAATAAGCATATGCACTGTTATACAGGAGTTATGACATTTAATTTCTCTAACAACATTAAATTTCAATGATTTTTTTTTATAATTTTCCTACTGTTTGTAGTTTTCACCGTATTTTTCCATAGACCTATTTGAAGAAAGGTTATTTTCTGACAGAATTATGTGAATAACCTAGGAAAAAATGCCCATTCTGTATGTTAATTTTAGTTTGTTTAGTATGTAGCTTTCCTAGGTTTTTTTTCTTAATTGACTCACAACACAAAACAGTTTCATAAAGTTTCATTTATCCTTACATAAAAAGGATAAATTATTCATCTTTTCTCTTTTTGGGGCTGTATCCTCATAAGTATTTGTGTGAAACCTAGCACTGTCAAACTCAGATCTTAAGTGGGTGGTCCAGAAATCTTATATGACAACCCAATGTCTTTATGGATTAGGATAGGAATTGTAGGAAAAATACAGGATGACCAGTTATATAAAGAACTGGTTGAAATTCAGTATTTATTATTGAGTTCAATATTTAATTCTTCTGGCAATATTCCAGTTTTGTGCTGAATATATATTGGGTGTCGATGCTACTGGGTGCTTTGTTCACCCAGTAACAGTCAACATGTAATTAGAAACTTCCAAACATTTGAAGAACTTTTTTCCCCCATGAAATGCATGTCAACAGAGACATAAACCTCATCATCTTAAGAAAAGCACATCAAAGCACAGATATGTTTGGAAATATCTAACATTAAACCTTATTACTGAGAGCTTCCCCAAGACTGTATTCAAAGCCACAGTATGACTAAGGATACTCATACACGTATGTATGCCCAGGAGATGACAATAAATGAGCATACTGTATACCCTACACAACTGAGAAAAACTTAAAAGATCTGACGTACTAAATCTAACTGAAAGGATGTCCACCAGAATCCAGGAAAGTGTGTGAACAGCTAAGACTCACAGTATTTGTCTTTTTATTTTCCTTCCTTTAAAGAAGACATGCATTTTGCCTCCTTCCTATACATTTTGAGAAAATACTCCTCCAAGTGCTGTGTTTCCAAACCAGCCTTTCTACATGAAAATGCTAACTAACTTATTTAACTTTTAGAATACTCATATGTATGAAAGGAACTTACATACACAGGACATACCATTTAAATTCACCTGAGGCAAGATCAGAATACGGAAAGCATGCAACGTAAGAAAAACTTTACCTGATCATGATTTTCATCTGAAAATGTTATTGATGTAAGCTTGTAACTATTCTTCAATAAAAATTCATTAACTAGGAAGTTTAGAGCTCTTTTCTCAAGAGGTCTGATTGGCTCCTGGAATAAAACAAGAAAACAACACACTACATCTGTGGCTCATCTTCCTTCCAGCTACAGAAGTGTGTATGTCTTAAAGTCCATGCAAAGCTCAGCTATCACCAGCCACCTACCTGAATTTCAGGACTTGATTTATAATTTTTTCGTTCCTGCAAAGGAACTTCATTTTCTGGGGAAGAAAAAAAAAGGTAACTAGATTTTACTCTTCCACACAGGATGAGCTCAGCTACTTCTACATTGTTCGAAGTAGAGACTTAAGAAAAGGTTTATGTACACCACCTGCAGCCTGAGTCAGGTTGGCTCGGAGGGCCTGTATGGTCTCCTTGGCTTTCCGCAGTTCAAACTCCAGGACTGGACAGGGATTTGGATTAAACACACACAGGCATCCAACCAAGGCAAGGGAAACAAAAATAAAACATAAAAAGCAAGGATGGGTGTGAAAAAAAATATACAGTTTGTATTAACAGAAAGCATGCAATCTTTATGGAACTTATGAACACATGCAGCAGAGTTGGTCTGAAAGCAAACTGGTGAACATTTTCCATAGTTTCACTGGCCTTAAGTTAGCTAGATCAAAATTTCAAGCTGTCTGACAAGGACTCGCTGTAGGGTTTTGGGGTCTTCTCCCATCTCCCTTCCTCCCCTCCCCCCCCCTTTTCTTTTTTCTTTTATTTTTTTGCTTGCTTTTCACTTTGCTTGTTCTGGGAAACAGTTGTTATTTCTTCCCCGTTCTTACAATCAGCTGATACTGTCAAACATTTCAACTTCTCAGGACAAGGGGATTATGAGGGCAAACAGAGGACAGATATAAATGAAGCAAATACATGCTGGCAGCAGAGGAAGCTGTCTCCATGTAGCAAAGCTTAAACCATAAAGTGAATGTGTTCTCTCATTAAGACTACAGGGGTTTTCTGTTTGAAAATGAAATTATACACAGAAATTTTAGCAGTTTAAATGGCAGAATTTGAAACATACTTTATTTTACTACTAAGAATAATCTTGTTTTAAATATCTATCTAAAAATAGTGGAGTTTTAGGAATATCCTAGAGTTGATTAAGATTTTGAATTTAGTTAATTACATTAAAAGATACACAAGACAAAAAAAAAAGCAAAATATGCAGCTTTCCTATAGTACTTAGAGAAGCTTGAAACAAAACATTCTTTGCTCCATTATTCTTAAAAGCTTCTATTGATTCTAAACTATACAACACTTTCAGTGATCGAGAGTCATCTTTAGAGATTGAAAAATATAATTCTGTTTTTATCATCTGCTCCACCTCTCAATTGCCTTGGCCACTCTTACATTTTTCTCATATTCTAATATTTCCTCCAAAAAGGGCCAGTAGTGGCTTGTTTGCACTGAAATTTCTAATGTTTTGATGTTGAGGTCATATGTATACTGTGGCTTCAAATTTCAAAACCCTGTACCTTTGCAATAGATACAAGTAAATATTCTTTCTATACCCATTTAAGGCTAGAGCATCTAAGGGAACCTATGTAAGGATTTACCAGATAATTACATGCATTTCATTAATTCTCAGATTAATCTACTCACACTTAAACATACAACTACCAGAAAGGATTCTTGAACTTAACGAGGAGAGATGAGAAGAGAACAGCTACCATACCGAAGTGTTAAACTAAAAATGTTGTAGCTGCTTCTAATAAAAAAATATTAATGAGATTTTTAATCTTTGCCTGGAAACAATTTAACATGGCATTTTGACATATTTATACAGAGGACAATGCACGGCAGAAGCACTGCACTGGCTCTCGCTTGTAAGAAACCCTACTGAAGACTGAAAATAGAACTATTTCCTCTTTTGAACATCTGTTACTAAGAATCTTTTGATAATTAGCACGCATGGAAAAAAAGATTCACTCAGTTTGCATTTACCCATAAAAACTGAAGGAATAACTACAGTACACCACATTTGCTACATGAAAGTAACTTGTTTGATGCACAGAATTTTACTGCAGCAATACAAAAGCGCAACTGAGGATATGATGAATAAAATATGTAAGATCTCTCTAGTATTCAGCAATGCTGATCTGCAAATACTTCTGTGCAACAAAGTTAGAAAATGCTTTTGTAGTAAAGTATCTAATAATTTTAGCATTTCCTTGCATTTGAGTTACTAATTCACAGTTATGATTTTAAGTAGTAAGCTACTAATTTGTTAGCTTTTGAAAATTGTACAGAAGTCAATTTAAGTAATTCTTCTCATGGAAATGGCTACATGTTATCATCTTATTCTTTCAAAATATTTTCAAAGACCAGAACAGTTGCAGATCAGGAGTGCCCTGCACTAGAATGATACAAATAATGAAGGAAAAAAAAATAGAAAAAACCAACACAAATTAGAAAAACTCAGGAATCCCATTAAGGAAAATAGGAATAAAACATGCCTGAAGGCGTAGAAAGCCAAAAAACTCATGTCAGACAAACCCATGTCAGACGGCAAGAATTAATTTTTAGTGAACTGTCATGATGCTGAAAATTCTTAGAAGCCGTTAGGACTTTACCCTTGCAACCTTAAGAGTAGATTACTCTGCTGCATGTTTCTCTGTATACAGTAGAAGATTCTGGATACAATATATTTGAGAAGCTGTCACTTCGCAGCATGTCATAACAGCCACATAATTCTATTACAACACAGCATTGTTAAAGTCATACCTCATCTCCTGGTCTTACTAATGCCACCATTATGATCACCATCATGAAAACACTGATGCATCTAAGTCAGTCACAAATTTAGTTCTTATTTGAAGGACTTTTTTTTCTTAATATTTGTATTTATTTTCTTAATATTTGTAAATATGTACAATATAATCCCAATCAATTTTTAAATTATGTTTAAAAGCTCTTTATTTTAGAAGCTATACTGAAATACAATATTCTGCCAAAACACATAGTAATTTTTAACTCAGCATGTGTACTAACGAAATCAACACTGGCAATCCACGTTTTTTGATGATATAACATTGTCTTCAGTTAAAAAAGCTACCTCTAACCCCTTTCTCTGTAACTACTCTCAAGTACTGACTTTTAAAATAATGACTTGATCTGTCTCTCCCCCTCTCCTTCTGCTGTAAAGCTTATGTACCTTTGAGAAGTTAAGCCTTCAAAACCATCGATAAAACCCGCTAAAGTTTAACTTCATGTTGACTGAACTGGTAACATGCATAAGTCATTCTAGCACTAGATGAAAGGAGCTGATGTTCCTTAAGAACGATGCACAGAAGAGTTTTGCTGCAGACAATCTAGGAAAGGAGAGAACCAAATTCATTCTCCTCTGTACCAGAAAAACAGAGAACAGAAATTTAGAACTCTGAGGTTGGTTAATCTTCCTATAAGAAAATGGCATTTCTGAACAATCTGTTTTGCCTTAAGGGAGAAAATTGTTCCAAATTTAAGTGGCTCTTTCGCTTTTTCTTTTTGTTAAGAACCCAAATCACCACAGCTACCATTCTGAAAAAAGAAAAAAATTACTTAGACTTACTTAAAAGAGCTGAAATTTTCAAGCAAGCAACTAAGTATTAGACCAAGATTTTCATATTAATGATTTTTAAATGTTTCCATTTTCATGCAGCTAATCTAATAACCTTAAAAGACAAGTGTGTACCAGGAGCTTGTCAGCTCAGCTTTGAGATTTCAAAAAGAAGCTTTCTCAAGGATCTTATTCTATTCACTCACATTTGTTAATGACTTCATAAGTTACTGAACCATAGATAGTAGTTAGCCACAGAGAGCAACCTGTGAGTTGAGATACTGAAGAAGTTGAGATCAACATGAACAGCGGCCTTGTTGGGCCAAGGCCAAAAAGTTGAAGAAATAACAGCACTTGTAAAAGTTTTCAGTACTTGCTTTTGCATAAGTAGTATTTTTTCCAATTTTACTAGAATTTTACATTCTACATATGAATTATCTTGTCAGACTTCTCATATTTCACTATGAAATATTTCAGAGAACTGTATAAAAGTAGTTTTGTGCTGTGAAGCCACTATATGGCATTCTGGCATTTTCTTTTAAAATGAGTTCTCCTCTGAAGTACCAAGGGCCCCTGTGCTTACCTGGCTTTCCTCAAATTTGGACACACTGTTACAAGTTTTGTTGTTCTTTTTTTCTCAACTGTCATTTCAAGTTCTTCCTCCTTTTAAAGTAAATATAGAACTTTAGGTGTCCTAAATTATCTCCTCTAAAACCTATACAACATCCCATTACATTTGATGGATTGGTGCATATATTTTGAGTCAATAAGAAGAAATTTAAACTCATTGACTATAGTTAGCAACGAAACCACTATGAGAGCATACTTCAAAACCTGAGGTTTCCTAATTTCCCCTTTCCTGGTACAACTCCTAAGAAGTGACCACGTTTAGAGTTGATAAGAGTTTAGGTTCAAATCCTGACTGGGACAGGATGTTATGCAGCTGATCAGAGACACATAGTCTAGCCAGAAATCCATGCTAATGCAGGGAGATCTGAGAACGCAAATGATTGAAATGGAGTTTGATTATGATAATTTTTTTACGATTGAAAACACAGCATTATGTTTTTAAAATTATCAGATTCTCAGAACAGTAGATATCAAAGGCAGATTAGCAATTCTAAATGTTTTCAACTATGGAAAGCAGGTGGTTGTGTATACAGTCAATTTAAGATGTGGCAGAAGATTCAGGTACTTAGATTGAATGTCAGATGACCTATTTTCACCAAATGCTGTGGGTATTGGACTTCAAGTTAAGCATACTCTTATTCCACAGGAATGGAACAGGCTTGTTTTTTTCCCCATTCCCTGGTTGTTTTATGGCAATGAATATTTGGAGGAGGTTTACTAAGCCTTTACGGAATCCTTCAGTACTGACTTTATCTTAGCACTTTCAGCACTTAATACGTGAAATTAGATACAAGACTTATTAGTCTTAGAGAACAAGTTGTTCCCATCTAGTAAATTGCAATTCTAAGGATGTATCTATTTTTTGCAACTCTTTGTGGATTACAAATGTGTTATCCAATTTGTTACACAGTTTTCTATGTTAAGATCAGGTAGATAACGAAGACAAATGACACCTTCTAAATTGTAGTTCCTTTCATCACACTCATCCACATTCTGATCGGTTTTTGTGACTTGCACCTTTTCAGTCAAGCTGATAATATTTCAGAAGAGATTAATTTAGCTTCCTTTGATCAGATTTCCCAAGTGAGAAGTTCACATCAACTCATGTTTGTTTCTAGCCCAAATTTCAATTTTAACACCAGATGGAATGAATTGGGTTAACAGATTTGAAATACCAAAATCCATTTCAAGCAAGAGTTTTCTTAGTTATTTCCAGGAATTTTTGGGTTGGTAAAATAAATTAAAAAAAAAAAAAAAAAAAGAAAAAAGGCTGCTAACTCTAACACCATTCGTAACGGCGAAACAGAAACATGATGGCTTTGGATGGTATACATGCACATTCGATTTTGTGCTTTCTAACACTGTCATGGTATAGAAGTACTCACAACCAGATACATTATAACTTCAGTTCTAAAGTCCTTCTGACTCAGGACAAGTTTCTTTTAATGAATAATGTACATTTATTTCCTATCCTTTATCTGACATTTGACTAGGGAATTGATGTGGAAATCATAGGTTCTGTTCTAACAGTATAAACCAAAGATAACAGCGTAAGAAAACCATTTACAAAGAGAAACTATCAAACCTCACTCTGAGAACTATCAAAAGAAAAATATGACTATCAGATCGTGGCTTCGAGCTTCCACAACAGATTATAATTTTATCGCCTAAGATCAAAGCTCTTTGCTGAGAAGAAAGAATACGAGAAGAAATAAGGATGGATTTCCAGTTATGTTTCAAAGTGCAACTCCAGCTCAGAACTACTTCAAAAGCAGAAGTTAAGCCAGAGATTGTTCAAAGAAGGAACTGAATATGATAAGTTTGAAATCTTTATGGACATAATTTTTTTACATGCAAATTAAATACTTACCAGTTTCCTGAAGTTTATTGCTCAGTCAGGTTTTAAACAGAATTGAGGCAGAAGATTTTAAGCAATTATAATTGAGTCAGAATTTTCAGTAGAAATAGGATGTTTTGGAGAACTTTTGAGTCCAACATTCAGAAAAAACATCTAGTCTTGTAGTCTTGTTTTATTCAAGTTCTTATGTTACTTTTTAACAACTCTTAGGAAAACCCCTCTAAAGGAATACAGAAATGTAATGTAAACATCCTGACACATACTTTGCTTGTCTATTACATATGACAGTGGTCAATTAATATGCTGCAATCTTCAAAACAATCTATTTAAGATTTACTTTAATTTTAGTATATATTCATTTTATACTGGAATTAAACAACTTTTTGGCATTAATGTTCCATCAGAACATTAATGGCTCTAACTGGATGTCAATTCTGACTGATCTTTACTTTCTGTAAGCATCTCTAATCCAATTCAGTTACTAAAAGACAGCTCCATGCAAAGATGAAACCAGCTCTCCCAGTAATACTATTGCTGAGAAATACTGACCAAGATGATGAAAAAATTAAAACGTTTCTAATTTGCTTGGTTCTTTCTTATATTCTGGGACACAATTAAGAAATACTTGGGTTCCTTAAACACATTTTGTTTAGAAAATCAGCTGCATATTTACAGCTCTTCCCTCCCTTGAAACTGACTATGTATATAGAAAAAGACGGTAATTAGATAGTAATAAGAATCTGGAAGTTTCTATATAAATCGAAGAACAGTAAGTACCTAAAGTTCAAGACCTGAGCACCCAAATACCAGAATTTGCTTCATGCTCATGAATTTAATCTAGTCCTTTACCTCAGAAACATTAACTGGGTAATAAAAATGAGGCTTTTCCTTCTTGCATGTTCTCTCTCGGTCAATACTGGTTGGCATTTCAGACTGGCTGAGAGAAAAAATTTCACAATCAAGATCCTTAACAGAACTATGTTTCACCAGCCCTTCCTTTGCTTAAGAACATGACAGTGTTTCTGCTAGGATGAATCATGGTGGTGTAGAGCAGAGACAGCAGTGTGGAAGAGAGACATAGCAGCTTGTAATTTCAGGTTTCACAAAGCTGAACTGTGTGAACAAAGGTCACGGAATGGACAACCTTCAGGTGCTCATGATATTAAACGGTATTAACTGACAAGAAATAAACAGAGTTCTGCAGCAGTTTCTAGAAAGTTTTTATGGGTTTCTCTACAGAAGCTGTGCATAACAACATCTGAACTTAGAAAAAAGCCTGGATTAGAGAAATGTGTCTCATATGCAAATGAGATTATTATAATAATTTCGAATGTAAAAGAAAAGCAGTCTCTGCCTTTGGAGAGATAACCATAAATCCTGAAACTAAAAATGCCACAGGCTCTTAAGGTCAGAACAACTGCAAGAGGCAAAAAAACCTCTGTTACTTCTTTAAGTCTTATACAATCAAGAAATCAAATGGGAGATAAGAAAAGCCCTACAATTAAGATTTGTAGCAAAGAAGGTTTACAGAACTGAAAAAAATCCCAGATCTACTCTGGGTTTGGTAATACTCATTTGATCTACACAGAAGGTGTATTTAAGAGACTTTTTAGAGACCTTTACATCAGAAGCTCTCACCTGTGCAGTAGTCAGAAACTACAAAGTAGAATATTTTAGCATATGTTTCAGCTAAACAGTAGTAGTCAGTAGGCAGTATCAAGATACTGTTCTATTGTTAAAAGTTGGGCACAATTTTCAATTGTATGGCTTGCTTCTACCCTGGTGACATATGGAATTACACAGAAGTACACCTGCCTGAATATTTACAGTAAATACAGAAGTGTCTGAAACACGATTCTATCATTTAAGCAACCAGCTAAATCACCGTAGTGAAGTCTTGTCATCTTCAGGAATGTTTATTTAAATATACTTAAACATCAAGTCAAATAATAATGTTAGCATTTTATGATTTCTAAATCATACAAAAAACTTACCTGCTACTCTTTCGTCTGCTTCCCTATTGCCATCATCAGAGTATCTTGCAAAATCTAAGGAATCAAGAGTACTGATGCTTCCAGCGCGATCTTAAAGGAGGGGAAAAAAAAAAAAAAAAAAAGGTATCAAAAAATCCTGAAGAGTTCACTGGCTTTGATAGATGAAGTCACAACATCTTTTCATTTCAGAAACTATAATCGAAGGCTAAGGGTTCTGCAAGACCAAAATTTTACTGCATTTTCCAGAAGTCTGTCTCTAAGTAAAGAGTATGTCAGTAAATTTGAAAGAATACAGCATTGCAGCAAGTTTAGTAAGCAGATAATGTAAGAAATCCACCCTTGCTACTCCCAAAAGTAGGTACTCCTATCTTGTCCACAGCAGATGAGGAGCAGTGCAGTGTAGCACTTCCCCTATGGAAATGGGGCATAAGGCATTTGCTTGGACATATAGGTCCACAAGAAACCGGACAGATACATACAGTTCTGCAACAAGTTTCAAGTAGCTCTGCTACCATTTCATAGAAACCTGTAACTGCCCCAAATACGTTACTTCCTTTTCCCTTTTTTAGTATTTTAAGGTATGTTAAAGTGACCAAACACTTTACATCTCTCTTGAATCTAGCCATTAACTTTGGTACCTTGCCACTTAATAGAACATTTACTAGGGAATGTATTACCTGGCAAAATCAAAGCAAAACAACTACAGATCATGCTATTGCAGGTGTAATATTCACAGCCTAGAATTAAATTCTTAATTAAAAAAACAAAAAACAAAAAACCAAACTCAAGAAACACAGTAACCAGCACAAAGCTTTGATCTGACCTTGACATTTTTCACTGGGGGTGTGGGGTGTGTAATTAAAAAGCAATTTTGATAATTTCAAGTCTTTGAAGTACACATTTGCCTTTTGATTAGAAAAATGTGCAAAGAAATTACTTGGTGACAGAACCCAAAATAAACAGAACACACCTCTAACACAATTGAACATCAAGAAATTGTATTAACTAACTTAGTATCTTTCCCTTCCATTTGAAATTAATTTCTGTGTAGCACTTTAGAAATAATTTTAATTATGTTAGAGCTGTTGTCACATTAACAAAAACTAATTTGATAGGGCTGTCAAAAACCCTCATAACTGTCAGTAAAAATAGAAGCAATTTCATCGCTTGTCAAATTCTGTCGTGACTACCATCACAAAAAGTATTTAAATCCCCCCCAGTTCTGCATTATGTTAAAACCCCCAAAATCTATTAATAAGTTTCTTTCCGTTACATTTAAGCCTCAATTGTCCTTTAAGGCTTTGTGATACCCTCTCTACATACAGGCCAGCACCAGACTAAGATAAGAACACCTGGACTGAGACTGATTAAAGCATCTACACTCACATAAAAAAGTGATAGAGAATACTAAAGTTGCCAACACTTGCTGAGTTACACAGTACCAAAACTAAAGTGCCTGGCAACCCTAACCTGTCTGTTTCATGGACATAAAGTATGTGATATCATAGAGCTTATACTTAACCACTATCTTTTTGCCCCAGGACCATACTTTGTCATTCAGTCAATGAAACAGACCGTATGCTCTTCAATGAGTCTCTATTAAGACTCATTAAGCATTTAGTTTTGAAACTCACTGTTCATTTGCAGGTTCTGGTCTTATCTACTGCATTTTTTCCAGACATTAATCTGATTTAATAATTCTCTCTAGGCGGTTCCATAGTGCTTAGCATCATAGTAGAAACTCTTTTAACAGCATCCTTACAAAACAGACCATTGTGAAAATAAAATAGATTTTATACACAGGAAAAAAATATTTAGAGTGCTTATGTTCAAAAGTAAGTATGAATTTTGCATGCACAGCACGAAAATCTTCAGAGCTGATTTTTCAAAACAACACCTTGCTCAGTAAAGTACCGCTCAATTTATTTAACTGGAGCTGCAAGATCTTTTTTTTTTTTATCAATTTAAAGACTTAAGCTAAAAAAAAAAATCAACAACACACAACATTCACAGATCTTAATTAAAAGCTAATATTTAATAAAAGTGACCCAGCTATGTCAAAAGTAGAAATACAACTCTGTATTCTCCTACAGTCTTGCCATGTTCAAAGATCAATTTTCTATTTTTCTTACGAAGCCAGTAACATCAGAGAAACAATGCTCAAATTTTCAGGTGAAGTCAACCCACATAATAATTATTTAAGCATCCAAAGCTATAAGCAACAAAACCTTTTACATATGACTAGGGCACTATGGAGGCAAAGGCTCTCCCCCCTCACACTGATAAAACAAATCCAGTCATAAGCTACAAACTTATTTGCCAAAGCAGCCAGAAACTTCCTGGAGAAAACACACATGCAAAACCCCCACAACAGTCGCCCAGAAAAAAGCGTGGGGTAATCAAAGTCCCTCAAAGGATGTACATAACAGAACACATTTAAGATCATACCGGAAGCTGTATGATCTTAATTCACATTAAGATCAATTTCACAGCCTTGACAGCCTTCCATAAACTAAATAAAACCAAACGGTTTTATTATTTGAATCCTCAGAAACTGTCTTAAGCACCACATCTACATGCACAGCAGCATTTCTCTTTATCATTAGTGTTCATGATAACAGCAAACATCTGACACGCTCTTTATAACAGGCTGGCATTGCAGAGATGCAAATATCTGGATTCATATTGACTAAACCAAGCAAAGATGTGCTGAGGAACACCAGCCTTATGGCCTGTTACCTGCTACCATTACTGCTCTCTCCCACTAATGCTGATCCTCCTTCCCATTATGGAAGTACCTGCCCCAGTTAACATCATCCCCCAAGCATGCTGTCATTAGTAAACCAAGCTAATTTGGGTGCTAGAAGTCATTATGTCCATAGAATTCAACCCAAAGATATGGTTTAAAATAAAAACTGGTTTTATGCATCACATTAGTGGAACCTAAATCTAGAGAGAACTGTGTACAGCTATCCAAATAAATGTAGAATGAAATGAAGCAGTAACAGACAACTGTATACACACACAGGCTGAACAGTATCTTCGCAATTTAGTTGATACATATTGCAGAACTCAAGTTGGGAAATTGTAACTTCCACAACACCAGTCAAACTAAATCATTACTTTGCTACAGGATAGTGCCTTTTAAAATACATGGTGTGGCTACAGAAGTGGTTTCTGCTATTAAGGTAAGAGCCCATCAGTGTTGAAGCACTTCAGCTGAGACATTTCCGGGCCAAACTGGCTCCACAGGCATCAATGAATCATCAGTGCTAAGGTTATATCCTGCCAAGTCCCAGCTACAGGGAAAGCCCAACTACAAACAGTGCTGCTCTGCCACAGCTCCCACTGAAACAGGTGTTGCAAGCAGCAGGAAGACCAGCCATGTGGGAGCTGCCTCCTCTGCCTCCACCAGTGCGGGTGCAGATACTTTGTTTCTGCTACCCACCTGGAAAGGCAGACTTCCACCACAGTCAGGCACCGTGAGGTCCAAATGGCCACTCCACCCCCTTGAACTCATACTGCAAAGCTTGTAGGGCCACATGGCCCTTGCCTGCCATGGCTCCACTGCAGCCTCTGCCCCAGGGCACAGCTGCAGTGGAGCTGAGGGGACAGCAGGCAGCAAAGGGAGCTGCTGCTTCTATCAAAAGCCACAGCAACGCTAGTGACCTGGATCTTGCCCTGCCGGGAGTAGGCAAAACAAATTTTGGAGCCATTATTGCACAACATGTTGGAGCTTCTCAAGAAACAGAGCCAAGCACCACATGTGGACTTACACAGTGGGTTTAAACAGCAAAGAGAGATTTCTGATAGAGCCTACTACAGTATCAGCCAAGGGATAACAAGGTAAGAAGAGAAGCTAAATGAGAGCATTACCTCAACATACTACCTGGAAGGTAACAGCTGGAAGGCCCTGCCAGATCCATAATCAACAGCTGAGTCATGGCACAGGCACCACTGCCTGGCAGGGCTGTGCTGCAGGCTGCCCAAAGCCGAACAGCAGCAGGTCTGCCCCACCACTTCACTTACCCAAAATGTCACCTCTATGGGGGTAACTGCACCTGTTGCCTCGCTCCTTACGACTGCCTTTGCAGGCAGTCATCAGTGGAGGTTTCTCTCCTAAGACTAATGCCACCATCCAGGAAAATAGAGAATAACATTTTATAACCTCGAATTTGGTACTTCCATAAAGGGTGTGCCTCTCAGCAAAGGATCAGAGGGTGAACATGGTACCTCTCTGTGGGCAACCAAACTGCCTCATTCACCAGCAAAACGAGCAGAGCTCTGAAAGAGAGAAATTGGCAAGGGACGAGCTGTGCTTACGACATAGCTCACCTGAGGAATGTGAAACTTCACCATTTTTCTGAAGTACAAATAGTTGTACTCTGGCACACTGAGTGGAAGTATTTCAGTTAAAGCATTCAGAAAAACACCTTCTGAACTGAAAAGGGATTTTTTTTTTTTTTTAAAGGGAAGAACATCAATTTCTTCACTTTTAAAATAAAAATTAAAGCTCTTAGATTTAAGTTACTTGGCGAAGAACATCAAGGCAGAATCTTGCAGGGGGAAATTGCTGAAAAGGAGAAGTACGCTTTTGCTTAATTCTGTTTCTTTTCTAAAATAAAAACCCAACGTGACACAGCAGCATGAAGCCATTTTGCTGTCATGGTACACACATTGTTACCAACAGTCTTCTGCGTCTGGATTTTATACTTCTTTTTCTAGTATTCTGAGTTAAAACACTTTATCAGCAATTTATTTTTGCTAAAAGCTTTCCTAGTGAACATTGAAAAAATAATTGCTGTCAGTTTGTTTCAGAAATGATAAAGCAACATAACAAAACCTGTTTTAACAAGCAGGTATAAACAACTCCAGAAAGTGTATTACTGCAATATGGAATGACAGAGTGCCACAGGTGCATAGAAAACAAGTGAAAAAGTCTTGGGCTTTTCAAGGCTTATACTGGTGAAATACCAGGAGATAGACTGGAAAAGTAAAGGAGAGCTTGTGTATAGTTCTTGTCTCTTATCTCTACCACTGGAAAAGGATTAACAAAAATAAGAAAGCTAAGATACATACTAGATACTCAAAGCTAAGAATCCATTTACTGAAAAATGCAATATTTTTAATGATTTTAATGTCATTTGTGAAGTTAAAAGTCAGGTTCACTGCCATGCTTTACTTTCAAACTTGTACAATCTTTTTCAAATGACTGCTTCATTCCAGAGGAAAGGAATTTAACTCCTTTCTTATTCCCAGAACTGTCACCTCCATGACATACAGATTTCTGCTGACAGCTTATGTTCCTGAGGCATACTCAGCTCTTTCATTGAAAGTTGAATTTAACTATATAATGAGGAAAATGTAAAAAATCCTCAAACTAAAATGATAAAGTTCAAATTCCTTTCCACTGACATACATAAGATGAAAGAGGTTAAGTTTCATTCCCTCTGATGGTAAAATCACCAGCTTACATAAGGGACACCAAGAGCGATCATACTAACCATAGTTTCACAGTACGTGAATTAAGCAGAAATAAGCTGCAGTCTTCTACAAAAAAGCATTATTGAATAACCTTTACATGAGCACAACATCATAAATCAGCTAAAACCACTGACAAATGAAGCAATACCTCTTGATAGAGAGGGAGAAGGAAAAAAAAAAAAAACCCAAACAGATCTTTCAGAAGCTATTTGGATTACTTTGCAGACATCTAAACTAATTTTTAAAATTACTAGTTGGTAAAGCAGCCAATAACTTGTTACATTTTCTCTGAGTTGACAGGAAATAATATTGTCATGCACTAACAATTAATCAAATGGAGCATGCAAAGAGCAAGAACTCCATATTTTTCCTTGAAATTCAAGAAGTAATAATTCACTTTGCATGTTTTTAACTTTTTTCCTTTTTTCTCTGTGTTAAAGGTACAATAAAAGAATTGCTGAAGTTCAGTCCTAAGGAAATGCAAGTGTATAAATATGTATTTTAGATCTGTTTCTGATGGCCATAGAGAAGTCAGTGAACTAGGTATTTTACCTACCTTAAATAATCCAGACCCAGAGTAAACTAGCCCTTATGGCCATGCAACAAACTGTTTGCTCTCCCCTAGAGATACTGGTCTGGAAAAGCATGTCCTTGAATAATTTGCATTTTCAGCTGTCCTGCACAGTATAAAAGGCACAAAACAGCAGAAACCAAGGAAACTGGGGACAGAGATTATGTGGGAGAAAAAAATAGCTTCCTCTTGTATATACTTCTAGTTGCTCAAGCCCCATGTTAGTACTGAACCGCACATACATGTATGTGAAGAAACCAAGTGGCAAGATGGATCGCATTCACAGAAGATGTGGAATAGTATAAAAAGCTGAAAAGCTTTAATGGAGTCCTTTCTACATTAAATCAAAGAATCAGACACCATTAACAATTTCACAAGCGATCTTCAATTCAATTTGTATCTGTGTCTGCATTATGTAGCAACTGAAATAGGTTTGTGCAATATATATGAATAAATGAAACTAATTTCCCATAAGTAACATTGAAAATTTCTTTAAGCCTTACCAAATTTCATAAGACAACTCTGAAGCAATATTACTTTGACAAGTCTTATATGGCTGTGGCATTTAAAACTTCTGGTATGTTTCAACTTGTTCCAAGCTTACCAATACTTTATCAGCCAGCAAAGCAAACTTCATCTATGGCAGCAGATGTCTGGTACAGCATAACATCTTTATGGTTGAAACAGACTTACGTATCAATTTTTTAAACCAATTTGAACTTGCAGAGTAAATTTTGCAGATCAACATGTTCAACATCGTTAAAGTTACTCTAAGATGGAACTAAGAGTCTTAAAGTCATTCATGGCATCAGGCACTAAATTGTAAACAACCATCAACCTTGTTTTGCAATTGCAAATGCTTCTTTTGCTCTCCCAGATGTTCTTACTCCATGAGACCTCCTGAATTTTCAAGGTTGGTATGTTCTGAAAAGAAGATCACCATTAAATGAAAAGGACACAGAGCTAAATAAAGCAACTAGAATAAAACTAACTTTCAAACTGCCAGAGCAATCCACTAACAAATTACTAGAACAGGCATTCCGGATGATCGCATAATGCTAGTCCATGATGGGCAATCCACAACAGATTGACCAAACAGATGGTCAATGCATTGACCTACTTCATATTACTAACAAATATGAAAATTCATAGAAAGTATGAGGGTAAAAAACTTACAGCTACTTGGAGAAAACTAATCTATGCTTGCTGATGAAGAACAGCAGGGAAACACAAAAAAAAAACCAAACAACCAAAATAACCCACAAAAAAAATAAAAAAAAACCCCAAAAAGTAAAAACCTCTAACAAAAAACAATCATTAGATATGTAAAATAAATACTTTGCAGATACACTGCAGTAAAGAGATATAACTTTCACTCCCATGACAGGTACACAGCAGAAGCTCATGAGAAAAAATGAACCAAGCCATTTGAATATTGCTGAAGTGAACACTGAGGTCCAGGGGCATCTGACATTGGAGAAAGCATCAAACCCAGCCTGGCTCCATACATTGTGCTGTAGCATGCTCGAGCTACTAGAGCTTCCCAAACAAAAAAAGCTAAGTAACAGAGCATGGCACAGAGGTGCTTCTTCCAACTCGAGCCCCCAGCTGCTTCAGAAAGCATCAAAAGCATCAAATTAACTCCATATGCTTGATGTTGCAGCACTGCTTTTCCCCAAAATGGAGCAATTAACTTGCATTACAAGTATTTTTCCATTCTCTGCAGTAACCCAGCTTTGTTATACTCTGACATCAAGCAAAATTTTATCAATCTAGTCCTTAAATGGCTGTCTTTGCTGAGGGACTACTTAAAGTGTATAGATAATACTCATCTTAATTCTCAGGCATTACATTCTCTCAGTTTTCTTTTTATTCCAATTCTAGTATGTTCCCCTTTTCCTGATTTCTACATTTATCTCAGGACAGTAGTAAATGTTCCAGTTAAGTTTTAGTAATGTGTGTCCACATGGATTCTATAAACAATTGAAAAAATACACTAAAAAAAACCCCACAAAAAAACCACCAAAAACCAACCAAAAAAACCACCCCAACCAACTCAAAGCAAACACCCTAGCAATCAGAGTTCAAAGCATCTCTCCTATTAGGAGAGGCTGAGAGAGCTGGGGCTGTTCATCGTGGAGAAGAGCAGGCTCAGGGGGGATCTCAGCATGCATAAATACCTGAAAGGAGGGTACAAAGAGGATGGAGACAGGCTCTTCTCAGCAGTGCCCAGTGACAGGACCAGAGTCAATGGGCACAAACTGAAACACAAGAGGTTCCCTCTGAACATCATGAAACACTTTCTGTTGTGCAGGCGGCTGGACACTGACAGGTTGCCCGCAGAGGTTGTAGACTCTCCATCCTTGGAGATATTCAAATGCCACCTGGACATGGTCCTGGGCAACCGGCTCTAGGTGACCCTGCCTGAACAGTGAGGTTGGACCGGATGACCTCCAGGTCTCAAACAACTTCAACCATCCTGTGGATTCTGTGACTACGTTTTCAGTAATTTCTCTTACTGCACAGTTTTGTCAAATAACAGAACAGCTGATAGATCTCTCTCCCCTCCAACATCAAACCAAGATGAAAAAGTGCTTGTTATATAAATAAGAAATTCTTATTCTGTGAGTTTTTTTACGTAACAGTATTTCCTTCAATTCAACAACAAAGTAATCAGTTGCATCACCATCATGCAGCGTTATATTGCAGGAAGGGAGGAAGTAAATTGCCTCTCCCCTGTGGTGCACCAGGGGAAAGACTTCAGATTTCTCAGAGGCTTTTCCAGTTTGGTCTGTCTTAAAGACAGAGCGGGGAAAAAAATCTCCGCAATTTTTTTTTTTTATCTTTTTGATTAACAAACTCAATATAGTCTGTGCCATGTTTCAAGCACATGCATCATAAATGAAAATACAAGGCCTATGATCCTTGCTGAATGCCTCAAAGTTTTTGCCTATGCTAGAGGAGAATTCAACTCAGTTTCCCAACCCCGCATCTTTACAAAACCAACAAAAGAAAACCAAATACAAGTAATACATTGACAATAAAGAGTTATAACTTTGAACACACAGCAGTATAAATGTTTA